CTTGCAGAGTCGTGTGGCAAAGGAAACAGAGAACCCGAGCAACAACGGCTCCTTTGTGGGTGAACGCTACAGTTACGTTGGTAACATCTTATAATTTTGTTTTCTCATAGCAAACAGGCAGCACAATAGTTGTGATTTTCTCATAGCAAATACGTTTTTGATGTTCCAGACAGCCAATAAGCAAAGTTCTGAAATTGTCACATGACAATATCTGATCTTCCTGATTGCTTTCAGTTCCAGGGTGCCTTGCTACATGTTGTGATAACTCATTACTCTCAGTGAACTGCAGGGCTGCTGCTATTTCATTTATAATGATGGGCTTGATGTTCGAGTCAAAAGTTGCGAACCACAATGCAGTGCGCTCTGGCAGTGTATTATGCTTGGCCAAAAGCATTGTGAATGGCCAAAGCAGTGCACCTGACCACAGGTCAGGTGCAATGCTTTGGCCAGTCACAGCACAATTGGTCAGAGCTAGCAATGATGTCACCGGTTGTGCTTCCCAAATGTTTACATCTGACTGGCAAATGTCAGACAGCGGAGAATACTCGGCGGGTGTGGACGGGTCTGCGGGCATTGGGTTTTCTTTTTTATTTCAGCAAGTCAGTTTCATCATGACAATGCTGGATGCCATAATTGACAATGGATTACAAAGATTGAACCATTTTTTTATTCAACATTCCTCTCAGCAAATAGTTTGGGGTGACTACTTTCCAAAAAGGGGTCATTTTGGGGGTGGGGGCGTTTTATGCCCAGCACCTGAAGACCAATCCTTTTTGTTCACATGAAAAAAATCTGTATTTTTTGCTAGGAAATTAATTTAAACCCCCAAACATTATATATTTTTTTAAAGCAGACACCCTAGTGAATAAAATGGTAGGTACTACAATTTTTTATGGCACATAGTACTCGCGCAGCGATTTTTCAAAAGCAATTTAAAAAAAAAAAAAATACACTTGTTTTACTTTTAATGCACAAAAACACAATATATTGGCCAATTGTTTGGTAAAATATAAAAGATAATGGTATGCCGAGTAAATATATACAAACATGACATGCTTTAAAACTGCGCATGCCCCGTTCAATGGCGACAAACTGCAAACATTTTTAATATCCATAGGCAGCGCTTTAAAAGCCACCATTTTAGATTTACAGAGGAGGTCTAGTGTTAGAATTACTGCCCTTGATCTGATGTTCACGGCAATACCTCACATGCATGGTGCAACCGCTGTTTACATAATGGCACAGGGTCAAGGCTTGTGCACACAGGTGTGCTCGCATGGGAGGGGCAATTTTTTTTTTTTTTTTTTTTAGTTATTTTGATTTTTTTTTTTAAATTATTTTTACATTGTACCTTTTCATTTTTTTTTTTTTTATCACTTTTAATGCTATAACAGGGAATGCAAATAACCCCTATAACTTCAATGGGCATTGTCATATATTCTTTTTTTTTTGAGAAATCTGGGGTCTATCAGACTCTAGATATTGTCAAGGTCCTACCTTTTCCCAGAGATTATGTTTCTCCATGTGCTGGCATCCATGTTGGATTTCTGCAGAGCATGGTGGGAATCTTTTATGCCTTCTGGTCTCTGAGGTCCATCCCCCAGAGGGGTGTGGCTGATTACATATAAGCCTGTGGTCCGCACATGCCCTTTGCACTTGTGTCTTGTGTCTTGGTGTTGCTATAACGCTGTTCTGACTCTCGTGACTCTCCTGGAAGCTGACTCGGCTTGTGACCTGACCCATTCTTTGTGTTCTCCTTTGATCTGACCCTCCATTGCTGAACTCGGCCCGTGACCCGTGATTCTCGTCTGCTGTCCTGTACCGTTTTGTCCCGTTGTTGTCGACCCGGCCTGCCCAACTACTCTATTGTCTTTTCCACTAGCTACACGCCATTGGCGGCGGCCATTACCGCAATTGAGGTGTCTCGGGGGCCGCGACCTGGTTCCTGGCTGCGTCAAGTCCATCCCCACCATCAGGGGCCCTGGTGAAGGGCAGCCTGGGACTTAGACTCCGCGCCCTGGGGGACTTCGGTCTGTGGGGGTGGTTGTCGCCAGCCAGCCAGTGCGTTACATTGTTATTAGGCCTGCCTGTCCGTTCCTCAGCTCCTGCCCTGACAGATATCTCCTCTGCCCTTACATTATCTAATCAAACCAAAATCGGTGTGATCAGATGCTTTCCCAATTTACAAATGGCGCTGTTTATATCCTGCGAAACTGAAGTGATGAAATGCTTGTAGCTTCGAATTCTTAGACTATAGAGATGATTGGCACCATTCTGGTCTCCAATCAGCTCTATGGTCAGCTGGCAGAAACACCGGCTGCATTCTCAGGTTCCCCTGATGGCACGGGACTGCCCGAGAAGGCCGTGGAAGGCAGCGGAGGAGGGGGGACATCATCTCCCACTGCTTGTAAAAGCAATCTTGCAGCTAATTAGCCACTAGGATTGCTTTTACATGAAAGCCGATAACCGGCTGAAAAAAAACAACACCAGGATGATGCCTGCAGCTGTAGGCATCATCCTGGTATAACCCTTCAAATCCAGTGATGTACCAGTACATCGCTGGTCATATATATATACTATGTCTTTTTTTTTTTTTTTTGTATGCAGCCAGTGGACTGAATGAAAAAATGAGAAGAAATCTCTGCCAGAAAAAGTGTGTGGTATGCCCACCATTAGAATATACCGCCCTGCATCCACCCACTTCTAATGGTGGGCACACATTAGGTCACACTTTGCCACAAGTGCCAGTTCCAAGATTGAATAAATGTCTAAATAGTGGCACGCTTGAATAAAAATTGTCCACGTATAAGTGGTACCCCATATGGAGAAATGATGACACCAAGTCCCAAACTATCTTGCCACTGCTCCCCATGTAGTCTGGGCATCCGGGGGGGGGGGGGGCTCCACGTGACTATCTTTTCCCTCATAAATCCGAAACTTATAAGTATAGCCCAGGGGCGGACTGACCATTTGGAAACTCGGGCACTGCCCGAGGGCCCGGGGTCAGTAGGGGGCCCCATGAGATGCCCCTGGTACCTTTTTCATAGGCTTTTTTGAGTTTGGGCAAGGACACGGGGGGGCCCCATGATCCCCTATTGCCCGGGGGGCCCCATGATCCCCTATTGCCCGGGGGCCCCATGAGTTGTCAGTCCGCCCCTGGTATAGCCTGTTGTCCTCTCACAGGTCTTCTACATCTTGACCCCATATCTGGCACGCTTGCAGGGGAGAAATTGTTTGAATGCAAGGCGGCCAGAAAAATTAATAAGGGACTCATCAACGCAGATGTTTTGCTGGGGAGTATAGACATCTGCAAATTTTAGGTTAAGGTGATTTGCGAGGGGCTGAATTTTGTGGAGCCGGTCAAATTCAGGGTTACCCCGAGGATGACAGAGTGTATTGTCGCTGAAATGCATAAAACACATTATACTCTCATATCTATGCCTGGCCATGGCAGCAGAGAACATGGCATATGATGAATCGGGTCTGCGGACCAATACAACCGCAATTCATTTCTTTTAGTAATGCCCATGTTGAGGGTTAGGCCAAAAAAAAATGTAAATTTGAAAACCGTAATGAGTTTCCATGCGAATGGTCTGGCAAGGTTTGAATTTGGGTTGGCGGCAATAAATTGTTGTGCATATAAACTGCTTTGATCCACAATCAACGCATACAGATATTCCGTGAAAAAACAGCTCCAAAAATCAAGGAGGTATGTGAAAGACCAAGATGTACTAGACCGCTGGTACTCGACAGTTCACCAAAAGGTAGCGCGGCACTAGTACTGGCACTCTGCTGCATGTGAGAGTCATCAAAATTTACCGACAAGTGCTAACAGAGATCAGGCCTGATTCTGCGAACACTGCGGTTTTGTGTGCAATGTATCAAGTAACAGTGACCTACTGACACTGCACTTGCTGGGGGAGAAGGGGGGGGGTAAGCGTAGGGGCTAAACGCAGGTGTTGGCAGGTGCCGGGGCTGATCCCGCTAACGCTGCGTTTTTGGGGACGCTTTACTAATGTGAACGCTGGTATAGTGCTGACCTGATCAAAGATATTGACCCGTTCAGACACTATACTAGCAATGGAGGTTTATTGTACAAAGATCTTTGTCATGGAGAGTGGGCCCTTCACCTGAGTCTTTCAAAAAACCTGCTTATGATGGAGAATGGCAGATGCTAATCTTCTGATGTACCTCAGATGAAAGGAGGATAAATTTGTACCAAGGGCAAAGGACTCTTGGGCAGATGCAGTGGAAGCATTGGTGGCTCCATGGGATTGTTACAATCTGATATACACTATATTGCCAAACGTATTGCCTGCCTTTACATGCACATGAACTTTAATGGCATCCCAGTCTTAGTCCGTGGGGTTTAATATTGAGTTGGCCCACCCTTTGCCGCTATAAAAGCTTCAACTCTTCTGGAAAGGCTGTCCACAAGGCTTAGGAGTGTGTCTATGGAAATGTTTGACCATTCTTCCAGAAGCACACTTGTAAGGTCAGGCACTGATGTCGAACGAGAAGGCCTGCTCACAGTCTCCACCCTAATTCATCCCAAAGGTGTTCTATCAGGTTGAGGTCAGATCTCCACCCCAAACTCACTCATTCATGTCTTTATGGCCCTTGCTTTGTGCATTGGAGCAGTTGGAACAGGAAGGGACCATCCCCAAACTGTTGCCACAAAGTTGGGAGCATGAAATTGTCCAAAATGTCTTGGTATGCTGACACTTTAAGAGTTCGCTTCATTGAAACTAAACAGCCATGCCAACCATTGAAAAACAACCCCACACCATAATCCTCCCTCCACCAAACTTTACACTTGGCACAGTGCAGTCAGGCAAGTACCGTTCTCCTGAAAACCGGCAAACACGTCCATCGGATTGCCAGACAGAGAAACGTGATTCGCCACTCCCGAGAACTCATCTCCACTGCTCTAGAGTCCAGTCACGATGTATTTTACACCACTGCATACAACGCTTTGCATTGCACTTGGTGATATAAGGCTTGGATGCAACTGCTCAGCCATGGAAACCCATTCCATGAAGCTCTCTAGGCACTGTTGTTGTGAAGGCCACACAAAGTTTGGAGGTCTTTAGCTATTGACTCTGCAGACAGTTGGCGACTTCTGCGCACTGTGCGCTTCAGCATGCGCTGACCCCACTCTGTCATTTTACATGGCTGAGTTGCTGTTGTTCCCAGTTGCTTCCACTTTGTTATAATACCACTAACAGCTGACCATGGAATATTTAGTAGCAAGGAAATTTCAGGTATGGACTTATTGCACATGTGGCAACCTATCATGGTACCACACTTGAATTCACTGAGCTCCTGAGAGTGACCCATTCTTTCACAAATGTTTGTAGAAGCAGTCTGTATACCTAGGTGTTTGATTTTATACACCTGTGGCCATAGAGAAGATTGGAACACCTGAATCCAATGATTTGGAGGGGTGTCCCAATACCTTTGGCAAAATAGTGTATGTGTACCCACTGGTAAAACATTTGCTGTGGCTACTACGCCAGATAGAAGTCAAGAGGTTTCATATGATCCTAATGGCTCCGGATTGGCCCTGCCGGTCATGGTACATGGATATCATTCATCTGGTAGTGAACACTCTTTGGCGTCTACCACTTTGAGAATACTTGATGTCTCAATGACCCTTTTACCACCTTGATTTACAGCTGTTGGCTTTGCTTGCTTGGCTCTTGAAAGCAAGGTGCTGAGGGGCAAAGATTTATCAGATGAGATCATCCACACCACGTTTAAGGGTCTCAAGGCCACATCTAATAAGGTTTATAATGGTACTTGGAAGATTTTTTGTAAAATGTGAGTCCCTAGGGGTATGCTCTAGTTTCTTTCTATTGCCCACCTCACAGATTTTCTTCAATACGGAGTGGAGCAGCTTTGTCTCTCAATTGTCAGCACTGGTGGTCTTATTTTAATGCCTCTTCTCTTAACCTTTATTTATGGCAATTACTCACATAGCCTCTCCAGTCTGACTGGATCCTGTTGCTGTAGGACCTTAACCTGTATTGCAAAACCTGCCTTTTAAGGATATTAGTGGGATACTACTGCTAACACTCTCCCACAAAGTGACATTCCTACTAACCTTTACTGTAACATGTAAAGTCTCCAAACTGGTGGTGTTGTCTGGCATCCATCCATCATATGGATAAGATAATTTAAGACCAAGGCTGATATGAGGGGGTGTGGGGAGGCAGAATGGGGCAGCTGCCCTGGGCGCAGTGTTTTCAAATGGAGGGGAGAGATCTGCTATTGTGAGATTGTGCAGGTTAAATAGCCATTAGGGTATGCACATCTGTAGGGACACTGGCAATGTTTTTCATGTAATGGCCTGCTACATAAAAAGTGGCATCCTCAGCGTCTCTCCAGACATGCACACTAAATGAAATATCGAATATTCAGTGAAAGGGAAGAGCCAGAGGACCAGGGCCAGAGGACCAGTCTGAGCTGATGTCACATTATGGAAGGCATATTCACCTGCTGCTTTGCACTGCTTGTAATTTTACAGGGCGGGGACCGTATGCAATAAAACAGGTCCAACCAGTAAGGTTCCACTCTGGGATTATAGGTTTCATGTGAGCAGAGCTACGATTAAATCAAATGATAAAGCAGATTAGAAACGAGGAGTCGTTCAGATTACTAAATATAATCAGGTACTAAGCTTGTACGTATTTGATATTGAAAATGTTTGGTTAGGCACCAACATCCCTGAAATCACAAATAGCCCAAACCAGCTTCACCCAAATATGGGACTTTTCAAGTGCCAAATAATATATGCACTATGCCCACTGGAAAAATTAAATTATTTTTTGTAAAATCATTGAACTATAACCCAATTTTGATTTGAAAAATGTCACATAATATATTGCATAGCATGAATACATAGAAATCCTTCACATACTGTATGTTTCACAGTAAAATAATTATTCATTCCCCTTTATTCAACATAACTTGAATCCCAGTTGTTAATTGGAGTCCTATAGGGCAAAGCAATACAATGAGTCACAACAGGTTTTATGTGTCTCCGTCCTCATTTCCTCAGGTTCTATGAAACTATAAATAACAGTGAGAGTACTGACATTATAAAAATATATACATAAAACACTTCTGTCTGTCTCTAGGTACTTTATGTTATAGGATATGTTCATCCAAAGCTGGAATAATGGGCTTTGGGATCACCATCCACACAAAACCTCCCCTAACCTCAACCCTAACCAGGTCAAATACTTTAGGTATGGCAGTTTTTTTTCGTCTCTTTTTTTTTACTTTCTGTAACTGATTATGCTAATGTACCATGAGCTGTAGGTTGAGAAACAATGTTCGATTGTTCCATGCTCTGTTGAAACTGCCATGTTGTTCTGCATTCTCCATCCTTCTGTATTCCATCCCTGTGCTTCCCTTCAGCTAGCTGCTCTCTCATTCTCAACATTGCTGTGTCACTGCTGATGTCACTCAACTGAGACTTGACTCAAGGTCCTTTTAGGGTTGACTGCTACTATTTCATGCTGGATCAGGCAAGCTATGGAAGCATATGCTATCCAGCACAGAACATCATCGTTTTTGGTTATAGCACACTCTACGAGGTTGCCATCAAGCTTCAGTTTCTCAGGCAGTCACTTGGTCCTGAGTTCATACATCCACCAAGTGGATGCTGTCGCATGAATTGATGCCAGTTTTGAGAGTAGAGTCTTGAAGGGGCTAGTTTGACTGATCTGTATCATTTTCTTTTAAGACAGTAAGACCTCATTCACACTGGTACTCCTGCTTTAAATGAAAACTGAAAGACCAGTTTTTAATGAACCATATAGAATCTGATATAAAAACACCCAATTTTTTTTGGTTTTGGTTTTGTTTATTTATTCTGTTTAGTTATTTATGTTCTACTTTAAGATCCCACATTAGTGAATACGGTGAAGCTGTTTTGATTTCAATCATTTAATCATGTGCTTGCAAAAATCTTGTTTTTCCTTTTACTTGTACATGATTGGGCATTCTTTGCCATTAGCGGACTTATGTTCTTCACTACACACTCGCAGGCTGTGACTGACATGGACCGCGCACCCCTAGTAAAAGTTTAGTTTGGAAAGTGAAAATTCACTTTGCTTTTTGAATGAGGTGAAATTATGCTGACTTTAAAGTGTTACTAAACCCACAACAGTAAAATCTGTCTGTATATGCAGTAAAGCATGCTTGTTATACTCACTGTGGAACCTAAGGGGTTAATCATCTGCATTGTGTAAAAAGGCTGTTTGATCCTGTCTTCTCTGTTCCTCCCCTTCTTCAAATGTCCACGTCTTATCTCATGATAAGACAGACTGAACCCATAGCCATTTTGCAAATGCTCAGTTTAGTGTGTATTGCTAGAGGTATTTTTTTCTTGGTAGAGTGCATGTGATCAGCACAGGGCCAATCAGCACTGTCCATACAGAGGTCAGGAGCTTTGCATCCTCCTAGAGCAGAAAGAAAACTCCTTCTACAAGCTTTAACCAGTGCTCTGCTGGACACTGATAGAAGTCACAATACTGCTCTAAATGCTGATGAGAAAAGGTATTTAGCAGTTTATATTTACTAAAATAATTGCACTGCCATGTGTACTGTGGGAGACGAGATATAGCAAATGCAGGGTCCTGGGTTTAGTAACATTTTAATTATCCAGTCATTTTGCACATGATTAGGTATTCCTATCAAAGTGAATTTTCACGTATCATTATCTAATTCTCCAAGCTAAAGGAAAATTAACTTTGGAAAGTAAATATACTGTACTCTAGTCCTTTAGTAAATCAGCACCAGTTCACCATGTTTGCAGTTGGCCAGCTACTTTTGTAAATGTGGTGGAAAGGGATAGTTGACAAGTTTCCTGCAGTGTGGAAGGAAATTCCTTTCAACTTTTTAGTACTTTGTAAATGGACCTCAGTGTGGGGGGTCACATTAAATGCTTCTGTTAAATGTCTGTTCTTTTGCTTTGGGCTTTTCCAACCTTTTCTAAATTGTTATCTTTTACTCAACAATCGAACCTTTTAGTAACAGAACACAAAGACCTGTCTTAATAATTCATAGGCTTTTCAGAATGCGCACTGCCCCCAAACTATGTGCCAGCTGCTCTGTGCAAGGTGTGTTTATTGTAATGGATTTTTTTGGGACACCCATTTTCAGCATGACCATAAAGTGTCCTGTTTCTGCTTACAAAGCCTTGCTAAGTAAATCCTGGAAAAGACTGCGTGGGTTGCACATGAAACCACATTTAAAAATATTGTGCTGCTGTTTTTTTACCAACTCTCTGGTCCTTTAAAGAAGAATTTCAGAAATGGATATTTTTATCCATGCTTATCCAGCTTGGACCAATGTAACTATGCATATACAATACCTCTAGAAGCTGGAAATCCCTGTAGTAGACACCACTAGTACAGAGATATCCAGTAGTTTATCGGTCCCTTTGGCGAGCAGCTGCCCTGCTCCATTCTGGACACAGGTTAGCCCCTCAGCACAGGCTCCATTCAAAGATCGCTTTGCATTATCTCAATCAATGCAAACATTCTCTGATTGGATGGTGGGGAGTTCGGGTGGTGACATCACGCTCTCCACTTCTCTCCCATTTAGAGCATACTTTGCATTCAATGAGAAAATGCAATGCCTTCTCTGCATAGCTCCCATGCTGAGCAGGTGACCTCCTGTGCTCACAATGCAGCAGGGTAGCCACTCGGCATAGGACCCAGAAGCTAGTGGAGATCACTGTGCTAGTGGTGTCCACTACAGAGATTTCCAGCTTCTAGAGGGATCCCACAGCAATAATATATGTATAGTTACATATACCAAAAGTATAAGAATAATGACAAGTTGAGGAATATCCTTGCTGTATCTTTGACATATACTTTATTTCAAAACAAAACATTACTCATCTTTTGAATTTTAACCTGTACCTGTTATATAATGATGGTAACTTGCTCATTAAACAGTGGAATTACGATGAATCATGTGTACGTTATTAAACAATGTTTGTTACCAGTTGTGAACTTAAAATTAAGGCGTTACAAAGCTTAGTTCTACAAAGCTACATAAATTACTTGTCATTTTTAGAAGTAATGATTTTAATTAAGTTGTTAAAAACTTTACTCAACACATTACCATACCCTGATTCATGGTAAACGGTAGACTTGAGAGAAGAAGAATAGAAAACTGTCATTGTCCTCTAAATATAATGCGTACAGCTATAGTAGCACTAATACTATCATGCAAAAAATCAAATGTGCCAAAGAAAATATTTGTGTAATTAATTTTTTAAAAAGGCACTCTACAAGTTATTGGCCATAAAAGGGGTAAAGGGACTCAAGTACTGCCCAGAGAGACATGAATCA